TGATTTTAAGCTCTTAAAGGTTCCTTCTCTGTTCTGAGTTCAAATCACACTCTATTCAGACCCTGATGCTGTGCTTTTTAGGAAGATAATGGCCAATTTAGTGATGTAAAGGCTTGATAAAGGGTTCATCAAGTAAATTATCAAATGGGCATGGTTCTGGCCTCTCTAGAACAGCACAGCGTAGCGTTGAGTTGTATTCACCCCATAATTCAGCAGGGAATAGCTGTGGAAGCCAAATGTGTTAGCTCTGTGCGTGGCTAGTTTTGGCAGAAGATTGCTTTCTAGTGACAGCCAGGGAACGTCTCTAAAGAAACTTTTTTTCAGAAGTATGGATTTGTTGGTTGATGAATTTCTGTTTTTTCAAATGGTATCACACGAAGAGATGTCTTCCAGCATATGTGTCATCAGTTAGAACATAGAAATGAGTGAGAAATCTCATCACTTCTAATATAGCAAGCTTAACTAAATTGAAATAGTCCCTATAGGAGGGGTAGGTGGGAGTATGTATTTAGATGAACTTCATAATATCTCCTACGGATCTTACAGGAAATAAAATAATCTTCCTGAGCCTCTCTGCTTTCCTGTGCCACTGGTGCCAGGTGGTAAATAATGCTGCGACCTTCATTAGGGAGCTGCAGCAAAAGAGGCTGGTGTGGACTTCAGTTAACCAAAACTAATCCCCAAATTGGAAAATCTCTTCTGTGCTCTGTGATATGAAGTTTGGGGTTGCTTTTCACAAGTTAGATTAAAACTTGTAGCACAAGAGCAGATAAAATGTGTGATCCAACTTCACAATTGAATCACAAACTGGCTCTTTCTGTGGCAATCCATTTTAGTTTGTAGTTTGGTTTTTTTTTTTGTGCCATCATCCCTTACTTTGGAGTTGGTTATGCTCCCACCTGACATAGGGTGGGGATTGGGGATGCAGGAAAGTGGTGGAGAATGTGGACAAAATGCTGATTTTTATTTGGTTGTTTTTAAGGATTCTGTGATTTTAAAAAATTTAAAAATCACTGAAACTGCAACTTGGTAATGTGTCTCAGTCTTCATTTATATTTGGGGCTCTTTCGATTACATATGTCGGTACTCTTGGAGTAAGGGATCTTGTTCCTATTGCTAGAAGTGGCCCCACTATCGACCTGAGATCACAAGCGCAGTGGTACGTGTAAGATGCCTGTTTTTGAAAGTGCTTCTGCAGTGTAAAATCTTCAACCTGTGCCTGACCCTTTAAATACTCTCACTTCATAGTAACTTCCCTTATTTTAACCGATACTCTCCCCATCCTTCTTTGGGCTGTGGCCATCTCGGTGAGTGTGGTTTGCAAAGATTTTGTCCATGTACCAGGTGGCTTTTTTGGGGTTCATTGAGCATGTTGTGCGTGTCCTCTCTGGCCATTTAGCTGGAGGAAAAAGGTGACTCTTCATTTATTGCCTTCCTTTAAAATTAAGTGATGGTATAATGAGGTTAATACTGTGTTGTACCATTCTGCAATATATTATGGCTACATCTGCATTAGCAAGTAGTATGGCCCAAGAGAAGAAGTTTGTGGAAGGAGATAGTGGGTGCTGAGATCCTGATGTCCATGGTAGAAGCATTTTGGAGGTGGTGGTGTAGTCACTTAGGACTAGCTCTAATCTAGTCCTGTGGACTGAGTGCCTGTTGGTGGTTGAGGTGCATTGGGTTCACTCCTGGAGCACATCGTCTGGTTTAGCATCATCCAAAGCCCTTTAGTGATGTGAACCAGAACACAGAAAGCAGGACAAAAGGGTGAGCTACTTCCAAAATGTGTCCTGATAGGAATGAAGGTGCTAATACAGGTGTGCTTGGTCACGTTCGTTTGCAGGACAATACTGAGTGCTGTGAGCTGCATCTGGTTAAGCTTAGTGTGAGTAATTGGTAACTAGTGAGCATGTCCATCCTATTCCCGTGGGAAGAGGGAGAAACCAAATGGGAACGGTGGCGAAGGGAAGGTTTTCTAGAAAAACTGCCAAAAACGTCAGTGCTGACATCCTTATAAAATGTCAAGGAGCTGAAAGTGGACGTTTTTTCAAGCACCTTCAGACTTTCTAGTGGTTCTGCCTGAGTTTCTGTAGGTGAAGTGGCACCATTTCCTCCACCTACTTGTGGCTATGACTGAGTGATCAGGATGATGTGATTGTAAGGCTTTATTTTTGGAAGCAGAGGCTTGAAGCTGTTGCACGTTGCAGATTTTGCCTTGCTTTAAAGCATGTGGGAGCTTGCAAAGTAGGGGCCTCTAAAGCTCTTCTGATGATGGGCTGTGGGAGGGAGGTTGTACAGGACCCGGGCTAAATCCAATATATTGTGCACATAGGTCAGATTCACGTAGGTTCGGATTCTGGTTTAGTTTGTGCCGATAGCTTCAGTGGTGCTGGGAAGATGATCTCTGGTTCTTCTGAAAGCCCACCCAGAACTGTGCTTGAACTCACTGAAGTATGTCAACCCTTGAAGGATTTGACTGGGTTTTCACAAAATCAGCCAGGCAAATATATCTGGCAAGTGCATCATCAAGGACAGAGCAAAAATAGCTCTTGGAGAGCTTGACACAAGCTATGCTACTTGCATGAAAATGAGGGGGTAAAAAAAATAATATATATATGAAAAAAAAAATAGCCCAAACATATTCTGAAATGTTTTCCTTGGTTTGTTTATCAAATCAGTGTCATCCAGTTCATGAATACTGGCCAAGCTTATTCCATAATGACCTTTAAAGAGCTGGAGGATTTTATTTTTTTTTGGTAGCAATGTTGGTCCTCAACATTTGAGATACTTTAAACCTCACTTCCCTCACAAAAAACAAGTCCAGTCAACCGATTCAGCAGTGTTGCTGATAGGTACAAGGAGGTGTTTAGACTCAGTTGGAGAGGGAAGAAAAACCAGCAAATAAGGAAAGTGAAATTTGAAAGCTTGGAGATCTGCAGACTGGAAGGCATCCACGAGAAAATAGTCATAGTCTGGTGAAAGGGTTAGCAATAGCTTTCACCCTGGGGAATTTTGGTGGGATGGAGTGAAGGTGGGAGTGGGTTTTGGTTTTGTTGTTTATACAGTCCAGATATTGCATGGATGCATTTTAATCTGAAACTCCTTGGTTGGAAAGGGTTGGGTTGGCTGTGCAGCAGAGATCGGTGTGGAGGAGGTTTGTCGTGGAGAGATGTTGCCGCCTTGCTGCTGCTTTTGGGACTGGGGAAGACTGGTGTTGGTTATGGAGCTGATGTAGATGCTATGGCTGGCATCCTGGTACTAAAGGTGGTGTGTTTTGGGGGAAAAACTCCCATTCCAGCCTCAGTGCTTTCCCTTCAGGAGCTCATGTGTGCATGTAGGTGCAGATCTGTGCATGGGGTGGGGAGATGATCGTCTCTAAGATCATGGCAGAGCAGTTTGGCCATGTGGTTTTGAATGTGCTCAGTAGGTGTACTGTAGAAGTCCCTTTGTACCCCTTTCTGGTTCCTTTTGCCCCATTTATCTGGAACACAAAGTCCCATGTGAGAATTAAGCACCTGATGCTCCTGAGGTTTGATTGAAGTTGGATAAAAAACTTGAGCTGAATTGAAGAAAAGTTTTAACCATAACCCCTGTCCAAGAATTGGGAATTTCTAACAGAAAACATCATTTTTGGCGCAGCAAAATTTAAATAATTCCAATCCTGTTTATTGCTTGCTTTTTCTTTTGGCACTTTTTATGAGATGGAGCGTACAAGGAAGAGCTGTATCACAAGATTGGTATCCAGGGTGATGCATGATGAAACATAATCAATACACAGTTAAGTAAATAGCTTCAGCCCTTAAGATGGAAAGGGAAGACAAAGAATAATAGTGTTTCTTATATCACCAAAACAGTGTTTATATTGGTTACGTTGTTTTGCATAAATGAAAAGCCATGAGACAGCTCACTAGACAAAAGGGCATTTTCAAAAAGATTAATGATGTGCTCAGGGTCTAGAAGGAAATTATAGTAGTAGAGTTGCTCATACACTTTTTCAATTTTCATCCCTTCTTGCTCACTCTGGGAAGAGAGGATTCATTTGAATATTTTCCATAATGAATTTATTTCAGTGTTTTGTTCTGAATAGACTGGATGCTTAGTTGAAACAGAAACATATGTGGATGATTTAATGCCTGCAGAGTAAAACCAACAAGGAGCACATGGAAATGATGCTGGTTAGGGACAGTTTTCTTGCAACACTGTTCTCTTCATGGATGTCCTTGTGGTTTAGGATTTTACCCATGCTGTTGGAGCGGGGCACTGAACAGATGTTTTGGGAATTTTTTTATTATTCTTTTTTTGTGTGGAGGGTGGAGTATTAATTGAAATATTCACCAAAACTGAATGTTGGTGCAAATATCTTTCATCCGATGCTGGTGTGGTCTCTCCTCCTGCCGTATTATTTGTAAAATACTTACATATGTGGTGGTGGTGGGAATAAATGTTGTGGGATGGGCGGTTTGGCTCTGCAGGATCTGAGTGCCCTGGGTGAAGGAGTAAGGGTTCATATGTCTGTGTAGTAGCACCATCCCTAACCTGCTGCATAGTCTTTGCCATGTGATAACTACTCAGTCATTTAGGCTGAACCCATGAGAGAGTAAGACGCCAAGTTGCATCTCTCACATGTGAATGGAAAAGTTAAATAATTGTCTCAGAAACACACAAACAAACAAAAAAAACCAAACGAAAAACCTGAACCAAATAGAAAACCCAGCTCTGTATCCAGAAATGCTCCCTCATTCCACATGCCCTGGGAGCTGGAGAAAATGCTGTCCCAACCCTATGTAAGATGGATCTAAATAAATGACCCGTCTGCCCAGAGCTGGAGACCAGGGTTACATCTCCCACCTCCTCCAGGGGAGAAAGGTCTGAAATCTGCCTTTGGAAATGCCTAGTTACTGCATCTAATCTCAACAGCTTCTTGATGAGATGTGGGAAAGGATGGGGTGCTGGCCCTGAAATGGGATAGTATTAACGCCGACTTCTCTCTCCATCCACAGTGGGAGCGCCTCTGGTTCCTCATCCTCACCTCGTCCTTCTTCCTGACCCTGGTCTGGTTTTACTTCTGGTGGGAAGTTCACAATGACTACAATGAAATCAACTGGTGAGTAGAGGGGCAAACCCTTAACAAATTTGGCTGCCATCATACGTCCCTAAGAGCTGTTTGATGCTGGGTTGGATGCATTTGGGTCCTCCAGATGGGTTTGTTAACGACAATAAAGGAAAAGCAAGGTGGGAAGTGAGACTGGAGGAGAGCTGCTTCTGCCTGTGTTCACCGATAGATGTCATGTGTCCTCACATCTCCATGGCTGTAACAGAGCTTGTGGTAGGTGTGCTGCTTGGTGAACAGCATGCGAAAAGAAAGATGGTGCTGAAATCATGTAGAAGCTTTTTGGTTGTTTTTTTGATTGTTTGTTTCTATGGTTTTGGAAGTGGCTGAGCAATTTGGCTGCAACTTTCCACAAAATGTAAATGACAAAAATTCAGCCTGAAGCAGACACGGGTGTGGAAAATTTTGCAAGGCTGGAAGGAGCTGAAAACAAGATTTCCAGTGGGATGTGCTGGGGAGTTTAGGGTGTTGCCAGCTCCCCTCAGTGCTGGAAATTATTCTCCCTTTTACTATCTCAGCAGCATCTTAAAACATTTTGACAGTAACTTGGGCTCTCTTCTAACCAAACTGCTTTGACATCATTTTCTTGTCAAAGATAATATGTAAACTGTATTTTAAAACGCAGTGGGTAGTTGATCCCTTAAATCACCTGCTTTAGATACTGAAGTTGTGTGAGGGAGAGTGTTTACTAACTTAATGATGTGAGATGTCTCCTCCCAGGAGTGTGGTTTTTCTCTTCGCTCAGACACACACTCTGAGAACTGAAACCATTGCTCTTGATTATTTATAATACTGGCATGAAAAAAAAAAAAAAACCAACCAAACCCCAACTTATTTTTTTAAAAGCGTATTTTGGAACTCCTCTTTCTTTCATTTTTATACCTTCAGTAAAGGATATGAACACTCCTAGTCCTGCTCCAGCGCAAAGCCAAATCTGTCTTAGCTCAAAGTTGAGAAAGAGCTAAAAAACAACCACGCAGAGATGAAGCAAAGCCCTGGGAACGCTGTGAACAGGCATTGCAGCCACAGTGCTGCAAAGTTTTGGGTTCCCAAATATTGGTGCAGGAATAGGAGGAGATGTTTAGGTCTGCTCCGGATGCAAGAGGTATTTGAAATTTAAAATGACCCCAGATGTCACCTGCAGACCAAAGCCCCTTCCCCTGTCATGCAACCCAGTGTGCACAGAGTGCTAGAAGCACTTCAGGATTGACAGCCCTGGAAAAGGAAGCCCTCTTGTGCACAACAGTCATGGAAGAGGCTCTCTGGATGCAAAATAGCAGGGCTACATCTGTTCAAGCGTTGCCATTCAGCGCTGAAAATGGGTCAGTGCTTTGTACGTGCTGTAACCCCAATTAGATCCCTTGCTCCACACACTGGCACCAGAGGTTGAGGAGAACAGCAGGGTTTCTGAAAAACAGCCTGAAGTGCTGCGGAAAGGCTGGGAGGGAGGATGATAACATGGGGCGAGGTTTTAATTACAGCCACGCCGGTTCCAGACAGAGAGGAAACAATTTCCACTGGGTCCGTTCAGACTGAGCCTGGCCCTCTTCCCTCCCAGCGCAGATGTGTGGGCTCCGATAAAACAGAACAGTTTTCAGCCAGATGGGTGTAAAGGAAATGAAAGCATCGTTTTGGTCCCAACAGGGCTGTGAGGCTGTTGCTGATGAGATACAGTGGGGTCCTGGCTCTTAGAACCCCCATCTTTGCAGTTCCTCAGTGGCTGTAACTTCTGGGCCGTATTTGTGGACAAGATTTCTTTGATACTTGTCCTTGTTACTGTCCTCTCAGCTCTACTGATTTATTTGCAAGCCATGATGTCTCTCAGACTAGAGGAAGGGCTCTTTGGGGCAAACACCATCTCTGCACAGGACCTAGCACACCGAGCTACTGGCAGGGGCTCCCTGGAGGAGCTGGGACAAAGAATTGCTGTCACACTGGTGTGATGAGCTGCTGAGGTCGTTCCTGCCCTCCGAAGCTCATCCTTGTGAGCTCTCCTTCCTCACGTCACATGCAGGTGACTACACTGAACTTCTTCAATTTGTCCCACCACAGCAAGTGAATAAAGACTGGAGGCATCTGTCCAACCAGCCCCTCAGAGGAGGACGATTGCCAGCAATAGACCAGGTTGACTGAAGTCTTGAAACCCCAAGGATGACAACTTCCCCCCTCTCTGGGACTTGTTCCAGCACTGCACCACCCTCTGTGAGGGGATTTTTCCAAGCCAGATCTCTAAGGGCCATTTCCCCTCGTGACAGTGTCACTTAGAGTTTGATTTCATCATCTTCATAACAGTCTGTCAGCACAGGCAGCAATTAGATCATCTCATCACTGCTTCTTTGTAAGACTAAACAAGCTCAGCTTCCTCAAGCTTTCCTAGTAAGCTGTATTTACTGGGTGCCTCGCCATCTTGATTGGGTAGTTCTTCACTGGACCCCCTACGCATCCTCTTTGAACTGGGAGGCCCAAACCAGGACATTGTGGCGCTGGTGCCACCTCACCAGTGCTGAGCAGAAGGGACAGCAACTTCCCTTGGTCTGCTGGCGACGCTTCTCTTAATGTCACCCAGTAGTTTGACTTATTCACAGTGAAGGTACCCTGTTGGCTCATTCAACCTCTTGTCCTCCATAACCCCAGGTCCTTCTTGGCAAAGTTATTAGCATGCTAATGCAAAGCCTCGTTGTTCTAGTTGAAACTGCAATCCCCTCTCTTCTGTGTTTTTGGCTAAAATGGTACTTGGAACCATTAGGATGTTCTTCGTTTCTTAACCCGGATGTGCAGAATTTTGCTAAATGCTGCGGAGAAGCTGCCAGAGGTGACTCAAGAGGTAGCAGAAACCTACAGATGAGCATAGCAAACCCTGCCTGCGGTTCAGGCAGCATGTTTGGGCTCCAGCAGTGGATGCACATATTTATGTAAAACCAAACTGACCTAATTAAATTTTGGCAGTTGTAGGGTTTACCTACATAAATGTGGTGATTTGGCCTTTAAAGTTGTAAAGACTTAAGGGACTATTCTAGGATTGAAATGGGCTTTAGAAAGACAAGGCAAAAATTATAGCCCGTCGTGTATTGCTGCAGGCTTTTAACCTTTTTCTGCGAGGCTGAATACGCAATGAGGCCCTTGTCAGTGAAAAGGCTTTGTGCCTCTTAAATTTAAGCAAATATTTTTTTTAACTTACTGCTTTGGGCATTTCTTCGTGGTACCTACACTTAATTGCATTATACTATAGATCTCCAGTGTGCAAGCTATGTACTGCAACAGAAAGCTCAATGTTGGTTAATGAAGGATGTGGGAGATACTGTAATTTGTGAACCTGGCTGTGTTCCTTCTGGAATAGGACTATAAATGCAAGTCTGTGTAGCAAATTTTTTTTTTTCCCCCTTAGTTCTGGAGAAGGCTCATCTGGTTCATAACTACCATGGAAACAGCACTTTAAAACAATCATTTGCACATCAAGTGAAGACCTGACACTATCGGAGGGCTACTTTGAAGGGACGTCAGAACAAAAACTTAAATGTACTGAAACTGTGCTAGGGAAGCTCTTGGCGGTGGCATAAGCAAAGCTTTCAGAGGAGCCCTCTCTTCTTCTTCCCTTTTTTTTTTTTTTTTTTTTTTTTACTGACAGCATGTCTGAATCCCTCCAGATCCCTTTTATTATGGCTCTTTGAATCTCTAAGAAGAACCTGGACACGGGTTGTGATTGTTGAATTCAAGGATTTGCTCTCCAGATCTTACACGGGAGTTTTACTCCTGGACAGAATAGATGGGGCATTTGCCAGACCAGAGTTTGTGGCTGATGAATGGTGCTGTATTTGAGTGTTGAGGAGTAGGTTGAGTCTTTGACCTCCTTGCGTACAGCATTTGTGTCTGTTGTAACCAAAAAAAGCAACCAAAAACCTGGGTGCTCACTTTGGCCGGTTCATTGAATGAGTTGATGAGTAGGGCTGAAGGTGGCTAATGGGACCATTCAACCTGAGGCCCACATGGTCAGATGTTGGAGAAGCCCAATGTCTACTGTGTTATAGGATCCTTTAATGCAGTGAGGTCTGTCTCAACTCAGCCTTCTGTAGTTCAGGTGTGTTCTGAACCTGGTTGCTCCTCTTCAGCAGG